TATATATATCATCCAGGTTACAATATTTACTGGTTTCAAACTCTCATCATCATTCATGGAGTAGAATATACATAAGATATGAAGTGTTTGAACGTGCATTAAAGTGTATGCTTTATTTGTGAAATGGCATATGAAATTCGAAAACCTTAGACCGCACATAAAAATGTGGAGGCAAACCCAATATTTTTCCCCGAGATATACAACTATTTGATTATAACAATAAAAATTACCTTGAGTAGCTTTTCAATATGCTCCGATCATTTTTTTCTCCACTTTTTTTTGCAGTTATGTCTCTTATACTGAATTGAGTAAACTTGGAATGTCACTTTAGATCAATTAACTTGATTATAGCTAACTTTTACCAAACATAACTAGTTTATAATTTATTGGTTACATAAATAATTGTGATAACCGAGATTTATGTTAGAAGTCCAGTGGCTTTTATGCAATATGCCTATTCTATAGGGTTTGGCCTAATTTTAAACCCATGTAAAAGGGTTTCACCTTCTCTTTGAGCTTCTAGAACTTTAAAGCTTTCTTGGCCTGTGTGTGTGTTTTATGCTCTGGAGTTATCGCTGCTAGACGGTTTCCAATTAGAGAAGTTTCTTGAAAAGTTTCTTTGGAATTTTTATCTCCTAAGGCATGAGTTCTCTAATTCCTTCAATTAACGTTTGTTTCAAGTAGTTGTATGAGTTTGTCAAGAATTTTGATGAGTTTTGAAGGTTGAATAGAACAGGGACGGACCCAAGAATTTTTTTAATACGGTGGCACCATATAAAACGGTTGCACCTTCTAGAATAAAACGGTTACACCTTTCACGAACTTAATTTTTTTACCTTACCACGAAAGAACAATACGGTGACACGTGCCACCTAACCACCCCTCTAGGTCCGGCTATGGAATAGAAGTTTTTGAGTTTTGCTAGTGATCTCTTTCTATATAGAAATCAATATCGGTATTGAAGTTTTAAGGTTCTTTGTTTACATGGGATTTTGGTTTAATCTTCATCTTGCATATTATGGGTTATGGTTTCCCTCCATTTTTGGGTAAAGAGTTCTTTGATGATTTGTTTTGTTAAGAGCTTTGTTAAAGATTACGATTGGGATGCTTTTTTGGTATTCTTGAAAAGTTGTTTTATCGTAACTTTGATCAGTAATTGAAGTTGGAATGGCATTTGAAGAAATTTCTGGTTGATTAAAAATTGCAGGTTGAACCAGTTTGGATAGAGACTTGTGCAACTTAGCCCACGACCTGAGTCATGCAGCCAACCGCTTAAGTCACTGTGGTGCATTTCTCTCGTTTTTCTTTCGTGTCGTTTTTGGGTCTTTCTGGGTGTCATGCATGCATTAGAATTTATTTAGAGATAAGGTTGAGTCTATTTATCTAGATTGTGATCGCTACCTCCTTTATTCAGATTCTAGTTTTTGATATCAAGATTCATTATCGATTAAGGGCTTATAGTATCAAATCATAATCAAGGTGAGTTTTCTTGTAACTATTTTAAACTGAAACGCATATGTTATCAAATGATTATTATTTTAATGTATGTTTTGACTTCACCATTATATGTGATATGGTATTTGGTACATGTTGTTTGATTATAACACATGTGACTTGGTAAGTGTCAATGGGATTAAAGGATATACATAATAGAAGCTTGTGGGCGTGTGAGGTTGTAATGGCCCCTGCAGGGGGGATATAAGTATGTCCAACAAATGTATTTTCATGTGGTTGCACTACTACTGACCAGATCTTATCATAGTGTGTATTTTTATACAAAAACGACTGTTGTGGATAGTTGCCTTGGGTGGGATGTAATTTTGCAAGGCTATATTGTTATTAATTGATGAAATTAATTTATATCAAAGTGATTTTTACTGTATTATTTCTACTGACAGGGATTTATCACTGGACCTTATGGTCTAACCCTCATCTTGTGTTTCAAAATATGCATTTCAGGGAAACATCATTTAGAAGGTAAAATAAAGGGTAAAATGTGATACTGTCTTATTTGATTTTCATATATGAAGCTAGTCGAGGAAGAAGATGAAGTCTACTTTTGATCTTCTTTCTATGTGGATCTTTATGTATGAAAAACTTAGTAGCAAAAAGGATGTGGTAGCTTTCATGAATTTGTATTGTAGAGTTGGACCAATTCTGTATCTTTAATTTGGTTTGTTTGTACAAATTCTTGTTATATGTTATTTGAATTTTGGCGAGTTATTACAGTTGGTATCAGAGGCTGAATTTAAGGATTTAGGTATTCAGTTTGATGTCTAAACTTAAACTATATAGTTTTTGAATGTTAAGATGTCCCTACCATGTTAGAACCCGTAGGGTATTAAATATAATGGGGGTCGAAAGAACATGTAAAGTAAATTCAAATTACATATGACAATCTATTTATAAATTTACAGGTGCATGTTTGTACTTTAATACTTTTGTATATTTGGTTATGTGATTAACAATGTATTTATTCTGTGATTCATTAAATGGTCCATTCTCGCCTTTTTAGTAATAACTGCCTCATTTACTCTGGATAGGGCGGACCCTCTGCTGAAAAATAAACCGAGAAGATCCTCAAACGCTCGTGGAAGAGGTAAAGGTCGTGGAACGGAAATAGAGAGTCTGAAATGAACTCTAAAACCACAACTAATGTCAAGGCCCAAGGCTAGGGAAGAGGCCGAGGGCGAGGGAGATGTGTAAATCAGGGGTTACTAATAGAACCAAAAGACCCAGTTCATTCAACTAGTGGCAGAGGTAGAGGTCGATCTAGGGGTCAGGGTCGAGGCTCATAACCGAGGTTCGATATGTCCGTTCGTTGGAATTCGACTTATTTTATGATTGAAAATTTGATAAAACAAAAAAATAATTATATTTTATAGACACCATTACCCGAAAACTTCTATTGCAAATCTTGATTAAGCCGTGATTGAAAAATTGTACGATATTTTAGGCAATTAAAAAACGCGACAACACTTTTATCCATATTTATTATTGAACAAACCCTTTAGTTTTAAACCAATTATATATTTTGGCAAATAAAATTGCCCAATACGAAGACCATCATGATTGGAGAAGGTTGATGAGTTCAATGAATTTTTTTTTGTTAAAATATTTTATGAACATCCCGTTTGCTTTTCTTTGTGCTGCGGCGTAAATCCGTATTTAAATGTTATCGGTGTTGAAGTTTTAATTACACAAATATGTGTGACTTTTGGTTTAAATATGTATGTGCATACTAACTTTATGGTCACATGTTCCGCAAATGATGTCGAAGATTTTGAAAAAAATTGATCTATTAGATTTTTGGAAATAAAAACAACCTCAATTCCCGGGTTTGGCATGTATCGCCTTGATTTACTAACAATCCAAGCTAGTACCGTCGCTTCAGAGTCTGATTTTTCTCTTAGTGGCAGGATCATTTCCAGACGTCGGACAAAACTAATCCCGGAGTCTGTGGAGTGTTGCATCTGTTTGATGGATTACTTGGATAGTGTTGATATAATTCAACACATGACATCGTTAGAAATAGAGATTGAAGAACAAACGGTTTAAATGACCATACCTTTTAACAAATAAGAGGTTAATAAGAGATTTTAAAAAAAACAAGTGGACGAACTAGAGCTGTTCACGGACGGTATGACCCATTAGACCCGACCAGCTGGAAAAGCGGGCTTGGACATTCATTCTCGAAAAAATGGGATGAATTGGGCTAGACCGCTAAAATTGATGGACGGACTTGGGTAACGAAGATAAATTCAACAAGGCCCGTTCGTCCCGTTATATTATTATAGTTATTAAATTCATATATAAATTAATAATTTACTTCTTTTTATCAAAAAGATTTAGAAGTGGTAATGAGTTTGATTCTCTCTACAAATTACCAACCGTCATCCAAATATATATAATATGTAATATAGTACGTCTCGAATCTCGATCTTGAAATATTAGGTGGTTAAATATATTGTTATTGAAATTACATGGACTCTAAAAGTTGATAAATCATTGGAGAGAAAGTTCATACTCCTATTGTGAAACTATTTTTTCATACGTTATGTACATTGGTATCTTTTACGTCTAATTTTATGTAGAAAATAAATTACGTAATTTAAATGATGTTACATAACTCATGGTTTTATATATGTTTTACTTTTTAAATGTAAAAAAATAGGCCTACTAGCCTGTGGGCAAGCCTGACTCATTTATAAGGCGGATATGGGTAAGTCCATAAACCCGTAAAAACGGGTTTGAGTTTGCTATATTAGGCTCGTTGAACAAAAATAAATCATGTTAAGCTCGACCTAGAAACGACTCAAACCTGCAAATGATCACCTCTAGACGAAACCTGGTATCAACTTGCAATGTTATCTATACTATATTATAAAACATTTGACAAAAATTCTTAAAAACCATTTTTTATGCATGAAGTACTGTATATTGATGAATATTACTTAAAATTCATGATTACAAGTAAATTATGCATAAATACAACTTATTAAAGCTTCATGTTTGAATTCGTGTAACTAACTACAGATAAATATAATCAAATAGAGGATAAACATCTCATTTTAAAATATAAAAAATCTAAAATATAATTTCGATAATTATCGAGTTTTAACTAAATAATTAATTATTATCTTTATAAGAAAATTATATTATTAAACAAATATAAATTAATTCGTTATTGAACCTAAATTAAATTATAATAAAAAAATTGAATTAAAAAATTATACAAAAAATATGAATTTTAAACAGTTAATTTGATACTAACATCGATATACTTTTGTCAAAATTTTATAATATCTTCAAATTTATATTTTATTCAAAAATAAAAACATCATCGCTTTCTCAAATCACATAAAGTCATACTATATCATCGACTCATTGCACGAGTATCCTTCCCGTTAATCGAGATAACAAACCAATAAAATATTGGGCGTTTCTAAATGGGCCATTCAATTAACATATTTGATAGTCTAAAAACCGAATCTTTGAACCCACTCGATGATAATTAAGAGACCATGTTCGCCTCTGCGACTAGCTTTAGGGCCTTCACCATGATCAAATGCTCAAAAGACCCCTTTCTACGCACGACCACTTACATGGCTGCGCCACCCACAACCACCGTCTGCTCCCGTGCCCTCTCTGCTGATTCTTCCGTCGACGCCACTCCATCAACACAAGATCGTGGAAGCTACATCAATGAAGCAAGACCAGCCATTGTTAGCCTACAAGAATGGCAGGCGTGGGGTACCGATTCCCCATTACCCACACAAGTGGCGGAAATTGTCGACGAAATGATGGTTTCAGAGCGAGAAAGCGATGCGCAGATGAAATTTGGAGGACTTGGTGGAAAACTCAAGGTATCACAGGAATTCAAACCCTATTTTGCTTTTATAGATTCATTTATGCTTTAAATTTAGATTAAATCAAGTGTTATTCGGTTCTGAATGATGGGCAATTTTTATTTGAATGTCATATCCTATCCATTAGAATGTAATCTCCAAAATCTTGATGGAGGAGTTTAGATAGCCCCTACACTACGTGTAGTTGATTGACTGTTTGGTTGGTTTCCATCAAGCTATGTATGGATAAATCTAAGTTGTTGGAGTTATCTGCTTACGAAAGATTTTGTTTGTGTGGGGTTTTTCAATAAATGGAAGTAGAGTGTTTTTTAATTGGTGGTAAGTTTAGCCCCTACAAGCTTACTGAAGAAGCCACTTTCTATATCACTAAGCCACTGCCGAATAATCATGTATAGCTTACTGAATAAGCTCATTAAGCTGATAAGAAACAGGCCCAGAGAGAGTTTTTGAATTTAGCAATGTACTCAATTGTACAAAAATGGGTTCAAATAGGGATCGAGCTTTGAAGCGACTTGTGAGATTAAGAATTGGTTCAGTCATGGGGAACAAGTCCAACCAACCCTTTTTTGTTAAACTATGTTTCAAGTTGTGGTATTTGTTTTGATGGAGGGAGTGTCATAGTTTGTTGAACATTTGATCAAGATTTAGCAATGTGTAATTGCTGTTTTGTAATCAGGATCTTTGAATGCCAACTTTGTCATTGAAAGGTTCATTTGGGTCTAGTTTCAGCTTCAGAAACTAATAACGTGTGCATTGCAAAGGAATTACCATTTTGATGTGAAAGAGGATGCTCTAAAAACCAAATCAAACCAAACATATCCGGTATAATCTTGCTCAAAAGCAGGGTCTCGGAGGGTAGGATGTATGCAAACTTTTCCTCTAGGCTCAACTCCTAAGGGTAGGGAGACTCGTTTCTAAGGATGATATGTAGTTTTGAAATTAGTTTCCATAAGCTTAAAGCTGATTGGATCAATGCTATACTCTCTTTTTACGTTGCAAGTTTCTACATCAGGTTTTTCAACCTATCAAAAGAATGGTATTAAATTAAGCAGGCTTCCAATTGTTCTTGTTCTCTTAGGGTGTGTTTGGTATGCGGAACAGGATGTGACATGAGAAGAAAAATTTGTGATTCCATGTTTGATGCGACATTAGACAGGAACAAGATGGGACTGAGTGGGACATTAAAAAGGGTGGAACAAAAATCAGGGAGATGGGACAAACTTGGTAAATTACAAAACTACCCATGTCAAATTAAAACCCGAAAACATTCCACAATTCCTTCACCCACCTACCTCACTCTTGCCCGTGCAGTCTTGTCTACGTACGAAATACATCCTTATGGTGAACTTTGTTGGGTTTTTATCCCTTTTAGTTGTCTTGTTCTCACTTTCTGTTATTTAAATTTCTGCTTCATTTTCTTCTCTGCTTATATTCTATAATATCTTTCAGTTACGGTATCGACTTTATTGTTTCCATGGTTTCTTGCTTATATTCTATAACAACATAGTTTAACTCAAATTGTTGTGGTTTTATCCTCTACAATACTAGTGCAAATCCATATCTGTGACTATGCTAATATTTAGGGGCACTTCAAGATGCAAGAAGATAAAAAGCACAGGGCAAAATATAGGGCGTTGGATGATTCCGAACAAAAGCTCCACTTCTTTTCAGCTAGACAAATAGCATGCCGCATACTTGGAAGCAGAGGTTACCTTTGCCAAAAGGTACCATTTACTTCCATAACTATAGGTATCCCTCAATGGTTTTATATCTTCTATTTTTTTTATTCCTTAGTCCCAAAATAAATGTTCATAGTGAAAAAGACACACGGTTATAGAAATGTGTAATTATTACTCTTTTTTTTTATTAACCTGGATATCCAACTCACTATGCGAGCCGACTAATCCCAGGGCGACCACCTGCTTTGCAGATAGTCCAGAGTCACCGCATTTGAACCTCCGTGGCCACAAGGGGATTTTTATTCCTCCTTGGATTTGAACTTGAGACCTCCTGGTACTTTTGACCTTTGGAGCCAAGCTCAAACCAATCAGGCACCACCCTTGTGGTTGTAATTGGTGCCCTTGTGGTTGTAATTATTACTCTTTTTAATCAACTAAATGACAATTTTACCCTTGATAATAGAGGGAGTAATGAATTTCTCGATCTCACTCATAATCAAGGGTAGAATTGGAAAGTAAGCACTTATTTTGGGATGGAGGGTGTATTAAGCTAGGTGCTTAGAAAAGTAAGTTTGTATTGCTTATGGTATAGATTCACACTATTATGATCTTGGGATATTAATGAAAATTTTACAGTGTTGGCTTCCTCTTGAAGATTGCATGTGTTTGAGGGTTGTACCTTGTTCTCTTTGGCATCGGATACGGTTTTGGTTATATATGCATCCAAAGGTATAAACATCATTGAGTAATCTCAATTGTCAACGGCTTCTGTTGTAGTCATTTGACGGAAACTCATTATTTTCTAGGATTTCTTGAGGCAAAACAACACGGGGAAGTTATTATGGCAAGTATTTGGCATTGATGCAGCCACATTGTGCATATTTGGCATAGCTGAACATGAAGAAATTATGTGGAAGTCGTTCATGCATTCAGGTCGGTACTATTTGATGTATGAAAATTGCAACAATTTACGTTTTTGATGTCCCTTTAATAGTGTTCGAGATTTCTCTTGAAAATTGCAAGAATTCTGTCGCACGGAATTATTATTTGCACATTATTGTCGTTATAAATAAATACGAGACCATCAATTTGATCCACATGCCTTTGTTTTGTTTCTATTAGAGGGTATTTTAGGTATTTGACTAATCTTCGCATATTTTCCTTAAACTATGTGTCAATGTTTTACTTGTAAACGTTCTAACATGTTACGAAACATTTTTAGGGAGAAACAATGTTTGGTGCCTTTATCCAAATAAGAATGCGCCAACGAAGTCTGTAGAGGAGAGTTTTGTTGGATATAAATCATCATCTGAATCATGCCGGGTACTTTTGATTTAATCTTCTTTTAAGCATATAATATTTATAGACTCTGGGTTCAGAGGAAAACCACAAAAAAAATGGAAAACTGAGGAACACCCTATGAACCATTCATTTGTCATGTATGCACATTGCATAAAAGTAAATGAAAATGTTTTTTAGTTGCACGTGTGTGCATTTTATGCACACATGCATACCAGACAAATGAATGGTTATTTCTTTGTGGTTTTTCCCCGAACCCGACCCAACATTTACATACAACAAAACTCAAAACACACTCCTCTTTCATAAGGCTTGAACTTGGATCAGTTGGCCAATGACCCTTTGGCTTAGAGGTTTTTATTCTAGTTAGTTGCAATCCTTAATTTCATCAAAAGCCTAAATTGTATACGGTGTTGACTATCCGCAAGCAAATAAACGCTATATTCTATAAGGTGATAACTTGCTGAATATTTGTACAGACAGATTCCGCTGAAACAATGAACTTTATCTTGATTGATGGTACGTGGAGCAATTCGGCTGCTATGTTTAGGCGTTTGAAGGTAAACTTTATGCTATTTGCTTACCACACTTATCTTCATTGTTCATCTTGTTTGAACCATCCTAAATACTTCACATCAAATAAACAAGATCCGTTCTTCCACAAAAAAAGGCATGCGTCACCTTCTGGAGTGACCCCACCGTACTGGTCCCACGACCATCACGAGGGAGGTAAATTGTGGGTCCAAAAGGCAGGTGGGTGGTGCCCGGGGTCGAACCCTAGACTTTCCACTCATTCTGCAAGGATGCCCACCTCCGTAATTGTTAGGCCAATACTTACCCTTTTTGTTTCTCCATTTGTCATACAAGATAACAAAAAGTTCAAAATGGTAAATGATATAAATGAATTAATCCAAAATGCTGATCTGTCGTAACGAAAGGGGTATGTGTGTAATCCATATGTGTGAGGTCTTGGGTTCGAGTGTGGCACCGTGCCTCTACCAATGGGGTTCATGCACGATTTACCGCCCCCATAATGAATGTGGCAGCGATGTGGTGGGGCCGCTTCAGAGGGTGGTGAATACGCTTTAAACTAGTATTAGAGGTTTGTTGATGAGAATGAGAACACATTATAGGGAAAATAGAAATTTCTTTAGAGCATGCTACTCCATCCATCCCAAAAAAGTAGTAATGTTTAGACTTTGACACAACTACTAGTTTAATGTCTATAATAGCCCTCGAATAAAGACACGATATGGATCATGTGGACCGAATTGTTATGATCACCGAGGGCAAAGTAGTATCTTTAACTTGAAGTTTTACCAAAAAGATGGATGTTATAGGAGGGTGGTTTCGGTATTTATAAATAATATAACATCGTTCTTATACTAAATCTAGTCACAAGATTGCAATTTTCATGGGTTAGATATGATTGCAGGAACGAGCGGAATTAGTATGGGGAGACGATCTTCCATGCATATCGCTCACCACAGGTGCATCTCCGATGCATAGACTTCGGTAAGATTTATGATCGACATACTATTTATGTATAGCAAATACTCACGCACAATCCTCACATTTACCGATTTTTGAACCGTGTGAGGATGGGTTCTACCGGTAACCTGGGTACCGTTGGGCCAACGACAATTTTCTATTTGGAATGCAGGCCGCAACCATCATGGGACCGAACCTGTACAGCGGCAGCAGCCATTGGGCTACTAGATGAGCTACATCTTGTTTCACAGTTCAGCTCATTGGGGTTGGATAAACAAGCTGAAGCAGTTGAGGATAGTGTAGATGTGTTGTTGGCATCACTTACGGCCCGTAGGCTTCGTATGGGTCGCTCCATCTCCCGTGCAGAAAAACACCACGACGACATCTGTTAACATCAATACCCGTAGGAAAATCGTTTCGTTATGGCATGAATACTCCATGATAACTGAAAAAGAAATTGCATATGCAAATCTTCCAAAGAGTTGGGATCCGTCTAGTTTTTAAAGATTTTGAACCGTGGTTGTCTGGGCCAGTTTATGTGCACCTCATTAATCCAGGGATCCCTTGAAGTTGAGTTAAACCCTTTTTGAGGATTTGAACTAAGGACTTATCAGTTGAGTTACTCCTCACGGTTCATGATTCATCCATCTTTCCTTATAACACCCGATTTGTGCTCATCTTTTAACACAAACCAAACAAATCGATCTATGTCATCATTCATTTATCGAGATTAGTTGGATCATAAATCGGGTTATGATAAATGGGTCAAGATCGATCGTTGACCAATCGGACTAAACAAGTTATATTTAGTCATATTTGGTGATCTACTAGTTTTAATGCAAAAAAGCAAATGAGAAAGTTTGTGTCCACCCGAAGTTTGATTTAGATGATTCATGGTCCCCAATTTCAATTTTTGGTTCATCATGATGTATCCATTTTTCAAGAGTTAAGAAAATGGGACCTACATGATCTAGAATCGTTGACGTGATAAAGTCTTAACGAGTCCTTAATGCTAAAACGACAACTTGCTATTACCATGGAACCGATAACTTCTGTTTTATAGCACACGGAATCTGAGCTCACAAAACCGTACGTTCGAATCGGAGAGATATTCCTCTATTCTGTGAATACATGACGTAACAAAAAGAGTGTCTCCTTTGTTTGAACCTTTATAAATCAAATCAAATGAACAAGTAAAGCTTAAAGAGTTTTTTTTCCCACGAGAACTCATAATACTCTGTCCATCGATCGTTAAATACGAAAATGAGAAAGAAGAACGGTTCTAATGTATCACAATTCTGATTTGTCTTAATCATAAGGGTAGTGCCTGATTGGTTTGAGCTTGACTCTAAAAGTCAAAAGTACCAGGAGGTCTCGGGTTCAAATCCAAGGAGGAATAAAAATCCCCTTGTGGCCACAGAGGTTCAAATGCGGTGACTCCGGGTTGGTCACCCTATGATTAGTCGGCTCGCATAACCGATTGGATATCCAGGTTAAGGTCTACGATTGTCGAAGTGATAAAGTTTAATAAACATGTTGGTACTTAATTCTAAAACATGAAGCAATCATAGTTTACTTTTCATGTACCATGATAGCGACGTATTTGTTTTTCCAAGTTCACTGTCTTGACCGTAGAATCTAACAATCACTCTCTTCTAGAGGCATACGAGGCCCAACACAAGGTGTTAGACATCAAGTCATTCACAAATTTGGTTCCCTTTGCATTTGTTTTTTAAAATGTGTTAGAAGCCTGAAGTCTGATTTTATTTCTGATTTATAAGAAGTGGTCATGAAGTCTGAAATCTGGATCAGTAAGATTGTTTGTTTTTACGTCTAAAGTCTGAAATCTGAATCGATCAAACTAGTACAAAAATATAAAAGATAAATAGTTTTTTTACAAAAATCTAAAAGATAAATAGTTTTTGCTAACAAATCTCTTCCAACCCCCAGAATACGAACCATTTAATAGAGGGCGGATTAGGATTAAGAGGTATTAAAGGATATATTTACCACTTAAAATTTCAGTGGACATTTAGAGCTTTTAAGCTCTTATTTTAGAAATAAAACAAACGTTTTTAATACACAAACGTCTGAACGAATCAAATTTCATAAGTATTAAGAGATAATTTTGAAAAAAACAAACAGACCCTTGGATTAACGAGTGGTTATATTCAACAATTCACTAATATTAATTACATTGTTTATAGGTACGACCGGAAAGAAGATAAGATATATATTGTCTTACGAAGGAACCGTGTAATTCTTTCTTTATCCATCATTAAATGTAAAAAGGCAACGGTGGAAACGTTTATGACACCCCAACCCCAATTTTGATTTGTTTTCATGTATTCACAATCAATATGCTTTCTAGAATCGTTGATCCAATAAAAGTCAAATGAATTTAACTGTTGTCACTCATGGTATGAACATCTCGATTTTCTTAAGCTCAGGTGTTTGAATCCACATCATCATACATTTAGGGAGTGTTTGGGATTGCTTATGGGGTAAATTGCATGAAAAAGTAACGTACTTTAACTTGATTCCTATTTTGGGTAATGTACTTTCAAAACTTCTATTTTGGTACCTAAGATGTAAAATTTTTAACATTTAAGTACCCAGATAAACGGTTGAAGCATTAACTAGTTATCATGTTGATGTGTCGATTGATGTGGTATCCAACTCAATATTATTTGCTAACATGGTTAGTGGCATGATTTTTTTTTAAATCTAAAATTACTCTTTTTTTAATCTAAAATTAGTCTTCAATTGGTTACTCGGGTACTTAAATATTTAAAACTTTACATCTTAGGTACCAAAATAGAAGTTTTGAAAGTACGTTACCCAAAATAWRAATTAAGTTAAAGTACGTTACTTTTTCATGCAATTTGCCCTTGCTTCTTTGAAACAACTTATGCTATTCTTCAAAATCACTTATCAACTTATTATAAGTCAGAAGGGTTTAACTTCTTTAAAAACTTCTTATACCGGTTTGGTATTGGTATAAGTTATTTATCCAAACACTCAAAAGTGTTTATTACCGGTGTCACATCGGAATAAGTCAATAAGTTGTTTTTATAAGCAATCCTAAACACCCCCTTAAATCTGATAAATCTCTATGCCTTGTAGAGGAATATTTTGTTGGTTTCGAATATGTGGCCTTCTTTAGAGCATGTCCAACAAATCTTCCAAAATTTCTCTAAAATAGAGAATCAAAAATCAAAATTTTCGAAAACATTTACTTTTAACTCCAACAGTTTATTTACTTCAAGATTACAATATTAATTATATTATTAAAATTCAATACATTTAATAAAATTTTATTTTTCTGTCATAAACATTTAGTTTTAATTACTTTTATTGGTTGTAATAATAATTAAAAAAAAATCTCTCAGAGTTATCCAAATTTAAAGAAATTTAACATCTGTCTCCTGTTTTCTCCATTTTGGAGAATATGTTAGAGCCCAAAATAAACAATAAACCCCCAAAAGTATTTATTTTCTCAATTATACAGAATCTGTTGCAAATACTGTAATACAAGATGTTAGATCAGATTCCAAAATATTGTCAATTTGGCTCTTCCTTCAAGGTTAGTCATATTCATCAAGAGTGATTTCAAATTAACCCTCTCTACATGCTAAATAAACCCCCTACAATTTTCATACTTTTTTTTGAAAGGCAAAAAAGAAAGGACAAGGAAGGGAACTTCGGCATGACCATCACCCTCACAAAGCCAACCAATATATCAATATCAACCTCTCGATTTTTGCATTTTCAACTCGTAAATGGCCTCGATCTAACCCAAAATAAGGTTTTATTTAACAACATTCGTTTACAGCCATACAAATCTTGATTGCATTTTTCTTTGTTTCTAGAAAACATTTAAATAAAATAAGTCTGTAAATTTAACTGAAAACGTATAATATCTTACTTATCTACCATTAAATATAAAAACTGTAAATGAAGAAGTTTATGCCACATGCTAAATATATCATGGGGCAATTACATCCATTTTTTTCTGAATTATGTTTTCATGCTAAAACCGTTTTTTTTTTTTTTTTTATGTTTAACCTGTAATATTTCAAATATTTAATTAACTTTTTTACTTAACGATTTGTAAATGTTGTCTCTAATATGATTTTGTGTACGTGACATCGGTTTTTTATTTTTTAAATACCAACAACACAAAAATTTGTATGTCATTAACTTTTTTAATAGATTGTAAAATTTGTAATAATATAAGTAATTCATAAAAAAAAATAATGATAAAAGAAATTAATTACGTGGATTATTGTAGTTGGTATTTAGAAAACATAAATGTTTGAGTAAATTACATCGTTGGTTCTTTTAGGTTTTTTCAAAATCTGAGTACTGATTATTGTCCCCATGATTTGTTCTAGAAGGTGTAGATAGGTAAGGAAAAGGAATGATTAGAATCTTTTTCTAAAATTTCAATTTCTTTTACGAAATCAACCAAAAAATCTGATTTAACCGTTAAGAGGATGGAATTTGGTTAAAAACATCGGATATGAGATATAGCCTTACGTCTTGCTCATAAAAGGTGTGATAGCAGATGTCATGACGTGCGATGGCTCAAGACTTGTCTTCGAGGCATGGACGGACCCATAGAAAGGCATACGGTGGCACGTCTGACCGTATTATCTCGCTGCCGAAAGGTTAAGAATTACGTTTCTCAAAAGTACAACCGTATCGTTTTATAAGGTGATGTCGTATGACATTCAAAAGTTCAAGAAGGTGTAATCGTACCTCGTAATCAACCAAAAAAATCAAAAAAGTCCCTCGAAATAGATTTAAAAAAAAAAACTAATTTTTTTTCCCCGAAATCAAGCAAAAAACTTTAAAATCCCTCCATATAGTGGAATTAAGCTAAAAACACATCGAGCACTGAACGTTAGTAAAAACATGAAGACACGTCGATAAAAACCGTGCTTTTTGCAATTATTTTCTTTATCTATATTATACGGTGCCACGTATAAAAAAATTCATAGGTCCGTCCCTGTTTCAAGACCATGTTAAACTCGCGGCATGCCATGACCGAATCTATGGTTTTGTAAAACGTTATTTAATTATTATCTTTTTACCTTTTTAGTGTGTCTTACTTTTTAGTTTTTATTACGTGACAAACTTCCAAGTTTGTATGCACCCCAAATTTGATTTATTTCCTCGCACTTAATTGAAATGACCGCTTCACCTTTTTTGGTTTATCGTAATATATTCATCATATAATAATTGGAGAAAAGGTCCCACAGTTCATAATCATTGACCTGATAATATTAAACGAACTTAATTGGTTTTTAGATACGAACTTGTTTTCCTAGCCAATAGAATCTAAGCTCACCACACCATACATTCAAATTGGAGAGTTCGAATCCATGTTTGACTCGTTTCTAGATTTCTTGATTTCATCACTCTGTTTTTAGTCGACCGTTCACACATGATGCTCATATGTGGTCTAGAATTGTCAAACTGATAAAGTTGAACACACTTTTTGGTCCTTAATTCTAAAACAAGAAGTAATCAAATTTTACTTTCTTTATACCATGATAGAAACATATACGGTTTCCTAGTCCACAGA